GGGGCGGCCTGTTTGTGGCGTCCAGTCAGAGCAAACCAGGGATTGTCCCTGCCAGGGTGGTGGGGGATGGCAGCGGGCGTGCCTACTGGGGCCACATGACTCGAGGCTGCGTAGGCCAACCAGCGTGTGGCCTGCAAGGCAGCGGGGCTTTGCAGATGGCACCCTCCAAGGTGGTGTCGTTCGGTAATAGCGCGGCCATTGGCCGGCCGGCCCTGCCAGAAGGCGTCTTAACAGCTCCCCAGACTGGTGCGGTGTGGAGGACACCTGCTGCTCCAGCCACAGTCGCTCCACGGGCTGCCATGGATGAAGATCAACTGGCTGGCAGGCCGCCAAGGCCCTGTGAGGTTGTGCTTGAGGGAAAGCCGGTAAGGTCGCATGCTGCTGCGGCCGCGCAGACGGGCATCACAGCATACTGGCCAGGGCTGGAAGTACAGCAGGCGTCCACTGCTGGCCCGAAGTTAGAGCAGATGTTGGGCTTGCCGAGGTTTCATGCCCCTGTTTTGGCACGTGCTCAGGGTCACTCCAGCGTATTTGTGCCTGCGGCAGAGTGTTTCCAGCGTCCGAGGGATCAGGACGCCCAGAAGCCTCATGCATTGCCGTGCGTTCAGCATGGGGTGCTGTGTGCCGCCAACAATCAGCAGGGAGTGGCTCCCAGAAGCACAGCGTGCCAACCGGCCTCTGCAGAGCAGCAAGGTCACGCAGGCAGTGGTCGCTCCATGCATAGAATCGCCAGGCTGATGGAGGTAATTAACGATTTGCCGGCCAATAACTTGGTGAAATCGAATGTGGGGGCAGCAGGACCAAAACAAGAAAGCCAGGGGCAGAGCGACAAAGAGCCTTCAGCTGAGGGTACCATGCACGTGGGCCCACAGACTGTGAGGTCCTGTGCCAAGCTCCAGGTGGTGCCAAGTGTCCTGAGTCGCAGGTTGTCCGATCAGGAAGGCTGTGGTGCTGAGCCTCAGTCTGCCAGGTCAGAGGGGCGAGTCTCCGGAAACGGGTCCACAGACCCTGGGATAGCATTGCAATCGATGGTGTCAAGTCTTGCGAAATTTGTGGACAACAATAACTTAGGGCAAAAAAGCAGCAGTGCAGCCAGCGACCTGGCAAGAACGCCCAATCCAAACAGTTGCACCATTGAAGCAGACACAAGCGGGCAGGAAGCAGCACCTCTGCAGAGTGCCAGCACCTCCCAAGATCGAACAAAGAAGGAGGCCTTTGCACAGTTGGAATCATCACGGCACAACTCTGAGACTGACTGTCAGGAAGGCAGCCAACAAGGGGATGTTGAGGAGACGGCAGAGGACCTACTTGCCGCTGAGCAGCTCTGTGCATTGGCAACTGTGGGGCGCGAGGCAACTGCAGCCGCTGAGTCCTCTCCCAAGCCCAGTGAGGATCGCCAGATCGCTGCAGCTGGAGGTGACCAGCCACTCCCAACTTGGCAGGTTAAGAGACCACGAACAAATTCTTTTCGCGGCAGGCAGGATTTCGACTCGTTGGAGTCTGCACTGAGGGAGAGTGGGATGAGTGTTGTCAATGGTCAGCAAGATTTTCTCAACGCATTCCTGAATGCACAGAATTCAACCAGGAGGGCTGCAGTTTCCCTGGGTGCCCCAGGGAACGGCTTCAAGAACTGCACAACCCCAACCAAGAGAAGGCGGCTTGATGTTGGCGCCCTCCTCGACTCAACCATGGATCAGCCGATGGCGGAGTCGCAGCCAGTTGAGGGGGACAGTTGTAATGATGGCCTGAAACTCGAGTCAGAAAGCATGGGCCTTGCTGAGGACGATGGACATTGCGGAAGGAGAGGCAGCAACGACAGCTCAGCGACAGGTAGATTGGCACTGTGCTGTGGTAAAGGGATGTTTGAACTTCAATGGGAGAGATGCCATGTTTATTCTGTGGAACAGACTGGGGATCTTGATTTGGTGCCCCTGTCTCATCTCGACCTACCTGAGTAGGACTGTCTGTACAATAAGGAGAAGGTTGTGCTGTCGTAACTTTCGAGCAATCACGTCAATGTGGCATCGTTTCGAAGTTAGACAACTCTACCCGACAGTTTGACACCCATGTTTGCACTGGGCAACACCATTTGTGTCACTGCTATGCTGCATTGACAATCATGCTTGACCTTTTGCGCTGCATGCATCGCTCTGGATATGTCTTGGTGAGAAGGTTCATCTATGTGCTGAACCTCCCTTTTGTGCTTGCCCCCCTGCAGCTGTTCCTGATGCGGAAATGAGCGTTGATGGTGCTGGAAGTCCAACGTGCCACGGGCTTGAGGCAATGAAGGACGCCACTGAGGCCAAGGGCGTGGCTGTAGATGCCCAGGACTACAGCACCCAAATGTCGTCACTTCGGCTTGGCGTCTTAAGCACCTAACTTCTATCCCCAGCTTGGTTGTTGCCGATGGCACGCCAGCATACAATTTCTTGTCATTGCCCGTGGTGGTGCAGTTTCTTCATTCTACTATATTGAAATTTTGAGCTTGTAATTTTCCAGTTGCGGGTGCTGGAATTGGTCTTTAAATTAGTGTACCTTTGTTCAAATTGATGATACATCCAGGACTCAAGCGTAGGAGGTGTGTTTGTGTGCGCTGGCGATACATCATGTAGACACTGAACATAAGGCGCGTGCTGCGGCGGTATTCTTCTCCACGTAGCTCCAAGCTGGTGAGAATCCGGCTGCTGTAGCTCGGGGCGCCTTCCAGCAGACCATGCAAGAAATTAGCGCATGGCAGTCATTGGTGCGAGAGGGGGGCGTGGAATTGATGGCGGGAAGAAATGAGTGGCTTCAACATTGCTGCGTCATGCCAACTTTGCTCATAGGAACGTGACGTGACGCTCGGGAATGTTTTCCTCCCAAAGCAGTGGTGTTTGCTCCAAGACATGCCGGGCTATTTGGCTCCTGCTGGGAATGAGCACACCAGGGAGCGAAATCGAGGGCGGCGCTGGGTCGCTTAGGTGGGCCGCAGCCAGGCTCGAGCGCATAGGTGGTGTCTTTTGCGGATGCCACAAACAGCCAGGCCCCAAGTTTTCAGTGGTGGGAGTGGACGGGCCACAGGATGCTTTTGCAAGGGACTGTTTGCAGCAGGGGAGGGCAGGGGCACCGAACGTCTTCGATCTGGCAGGCGAAGCTCATGGCGGGCTGTTGTGGTGTGGGAAGCGGAGCCGGGGATTATGCAAGAGCAATGTCGCAGACAGGGAGGAAGGAACTGGGCTCTCAGGCAGACTCCCTGGGGCCTGCTGTGGGGAGGCGGGCGTCGAAACGTACCTATCACGAACGTGACTGTGAACACTCTGGTGCTCGTCCGGCTGGCCGCGGATGAGCCTCAATTTATAGACCATGGGCAGAGGCCAGATGACTTGTATTATGTGCATGCCGCATTGGTGTTTCTGTGCTGTAACCTGCAAGCTGTATGTGTACATGGGATTCACCCTTGGCTCAATGGTGCGGCGTCAGTGGTGCGGCGCCCTCGGGGGCCGCCAGCGCCCATGAGGGCCCGCCTGTGTTGTCCCGTTTGCTGCAACCGGCGTCCAACCTGGCTGCCCGCTTGAAGCGTTGTGAATCTCCAAACGGGAAACAGCTCTTTCTCTGGCACATGGATCACGGTAAAGTGCTGTGAAACTGAAAATGTGCAATGACGGTGGTCTGGCTCACAGTCTGAAACTCAATGGAAAACGTGGTGTCAGAATTCGGTGAACGCCGTCAGCGGGGAGGCGAACATTGCCCGTGATTGTGCAATGCCGTGTTGGCGATAGTTCGCGCTCTGCGATGTATTGCGTCGCCAGGTCGTTTTTTTCCCTGAATTCCAAACGTATTACACTATGATACGAACAGAGGAGCTCCCCCACGAATCGTGAAACACAACAGGACCTTTTCCAGCAAGAACCGATGCAGGGTCCCAAACAATAAGAGAGGAAGAAAAACATCAGTGTCCGATGAACGTTCGATGTCCCAGCGGGGGAGTCCTAAGCATCGAGAGAAAATGCCGCGAAGGAGACAAAACCGCTGATGGAATGCCTGGTGCAGGATTCTTCAACCCACCTGTGCGCACATGACCACGCCGTAAATCTGGCTCATATCTTATATGAAATCTTGTGTTGATCCTAAGACAACTGGCTCAGATCCTATAAGATGTGGTGGTATCAAGCACGGGGCCCAGACATAGTGGCCACGTCGAGCTCCATTTCGGGGCCGCTTCCGCCTGTACTTTAAAACCTGCCAGGTTGCGGTTGTGTAGCTTACAAGTGCTGGATACTTCGTCAGTCCCAAATTGAATTGCAGGTGTGGGAAACAACGAAAATTGGGGTTAAATCTGGTTCCAACGTACAAAATATTGTCAGAAATAGAAAGGCCACATGCCAAACATTTGGAAACCACCATTAGCCGCCATCGGAACAACATCGCAGAATCTCGTCAGCGTCCCTCAGAACCTAGGAAAACAGGCAGTTTTGGTGCCAATTTGAGATTTTGGAAATTTTGGGCCGACTGGCGCATGGTCAAAATGCTGCTGCGGATTGAGCGCTTAGCCGACTGACTCAGAATTTCAGAAGCACAACCAGACTGAAATCGACACATTGTGGCCAATTTGGGTGGAATTCTGAGATGATTTGGAGGTCCTCCAGGGCCTTGGTTCGTACCTGCAATTTAACATGGGATGGTGGAAGCAGGCAATGCCGTAAGCACTACAGTTCCGGCCAACCACGAAAGCAAGTGCCCTGCAGGAATTGCCGTCCCCGCAACAGCTCCATGCGCTGTGCTTCGACTTGGATCCAGTTTTCAGTCTCCGCCTGTTCTGAACATTCTCTTGCAATCGCCCCTCCCCCGAGGACGGCTGCCGCTTCGCGCCGTGATCCCTTTGCAAAAACTGCAAGCCCTGCAGCTGTTTTTTTGGAGGTCGAGCCGAGCCTCATTGCACACTGGCCTCGGTCTACGCGCCAACTCCCGGACGCACACCGACATCGGGGTACACGGCCGCAGGCAAACAGACCACGGTATCCTCGCCTTGCGCTGCGTTGCGAACCGCACAACCCCCAAGCGCCACCCCGCCCTAACTCCCCCGCCCCTGACCAAGGAGACAGGCCACCCGCCCCCATCCTTCACTCAAGCCGCCCCGCCTAAATCAGGGCGCATATTTACGCGACCCGCCCCTCCCCCCCCACCCCACCCCACCCCACCCCCACCACCACGTTTCGACGTCCCACCTCAAACCCACAGACGCTCCAAACCCCGCGTACTCCTTCCGGCGGCCCCTGCGTCACCCGCGCGGTCACGCGCATCGCGCTCGGGGCTGGCGCCCGCGGCGGCAGGCGCGCTGGCGGCGCCTCACGCAGGCGGTCCAGCGGGCCCTCGAGGTCAGCCGTCGCGCGCACAAAAAGCGTCCCCCCCCCCGCAACTGCCTCCGCCGCTGAAGCTGTCTCAGACGATCCATCGGCGAACTGACCATCCCGTGTTTGTGTGTTTGCGTGAGCAGCGTCCGGGCCCGTCTCGCTTCAGGTGCGCCGTGCGGGCTCAGCTTCCCTGATCTGGCCTGTGCTGATGGGATCATCGTCCGGGGGGATCCGGCCGTGGCCGGCTGGGATCGCTAGAGCCGGGGCGAGGGCTTTGGTGAGGGCTGGGGTGAGCTTTGTGTTTTGGGGCGTTTGCGCAGGGGGGAGAGAATGACGGCCCGGCCTTCAACGCCTTCCAGTACTCCTTCTTCGGGGGATCGGAGGCGACGGATGGGCAGCTCGAGGGAGGCCTGGAGGTGGGTGCCCGGGGCGCGATGGCGGCGGGCCGCAGCAGGGCTCGCGGGTGGCCTGTGCTGAGTAGGACAAAAGGCATGATTGGCTTGGGGGGGGGAGAGACGCGGCTCCCTGCCACGTGTGCGTGGGCCCGATTGCGGCAGACTGCGAAATTTGGCCTTTGGGCGCAACCTGGGGGCGGTGGGGAATCCCGTGTGCTCGGTGACCCCCGGTTGCTCGACTGCAGGAGGGGATTGAGGCGCCACCGGCGGAGTCCCTGGATCAGGGAGACTTGTATGCCGACGGCCTGGACGCGTCATATTCTTTTGATGAGAGGCAGCCGGGGGCGGACAACGGCGGGCTGCAGCCGGGGCCGGCGGGCGGGCTGCCCGAGGGGCCAAAATTGGATTGGGCCTCGCTGAACAGCACCCCGGAGCGACCCGCCCCTCAGCAGGTGCGCTCGATGCGAATTTGGCTTCGTTGTGGGGAAGGGGCGCCAGAGCGATGGGGGTTTGGTCGTTCTGAAGAAGGTGGCGCCAACTCTGGTTGGGAAACAGAACAAGTCGCTTGTGGTTTGGGGCCCTTTTCCCAGGCGTCAAGTGCTGTGGCTGAATCGCGCAGTTGATGTTGTTCTTCAACGGCATTCTGACAACACAGTAGAGGGTGTCCCCATGAACATCGTGGCACCACAGCAGTCCATTTGGGGTGATGCTTTGCGAACTTTCAGTGGTCTCAAGGTTCAAGAACTGCACCTGCCTTGTGAGGTTAAGCCAAAAGCAAAAATTTAGCAGCATCGCCCATGCAGGTTGGAGGCGTGTTTTCTGTCGAGGAGCTTGAAGCTCGGCTCAGGGCCAAACGGCCACAGCCTGCGTCCAACAGCGCCACCAGCCAGCAGCCTCCTGCTACCTACTTGAGGTCGCCGTCCCCATCTCACCTGCCGCAGCCATCTGGTTTATCGATGTTTGGTGCCCCTGAGGGTGTGCCTACATTTGACCCCCCTGTGGTGGGTTCCATCTCCCCTGGATTGTTGCCAAGTGAGGAGCCACTTCATGTTGCAGCGGCAGCAATATCAAGACCGCCCGAGTTCATGGCCTCCAGTGCTGGTGGTCCAAATGCAATGTTGCCGTACCCAATGGGCTACCAACAGGGGCATCTGCAACAGCTTCAACAACTGCAGTTGCAGCACCAGCAGCAACAACAACGCCAACAGTTGGGACCACCTCTCATGCCGGACCTCTCCCACGGCTGGCTGCCACAAACACCGCCTGGCCAGATGGCACCTCACCTGGGTGGCAGGTTTCGTGAAGGCCAGTTTGCTGGCATTGGGCAGCGTCAACACTTTTATGGCGACCCCAGAGTGGGCAGCCCTCACATGGGCACCAGCCCATTGCAGGGCATGCACCCGGAGATGCTGCACAAGCACTTCCCGTCCCCGCCTGGCCAGCACCACCCTGTGTATGGTCCCAGGGAAGGCACCATGGGCCATCAACCCAGGATCGGCGTGGAAGCCATGAGGGCGAGCGCACATGCAGCAACGTATGAGGGGTTCAGGCCCCAAGGCACTGGAGGTTTCATTCCCCAGGGCAGGACACCTGCAGAGCTGTCGGGGCTCCACAGCGAGCCGCACCGAGCCTACAAGTGCATGACCCAAACAGACATCAGCAAGATTCTCAGCATCCAGGCTGCCAACATCAGCTCAGGGAACCCGTACATGGATGACTACTACTTCCAAGCTGTGAAGAAGAAGCGCAATGAGGGGTTCAACCGGTTTGCCCCTTCCGGGGTGCGGGACCTTGGGGGGTCTGAGCAGCCAGGGTCCTCGGATGTCAAGTTTGTGCAGCTGGAGGGTTTGGGGCGCATACCATTCTCCAACCTCAGGACGCCCCGCCCCCTGCTGGACATCACTGCAGCAGACGATGGGGAGGAGACCAAGGAGGGCGGTAATGGGGGGCCTGCCGGCCAGACAGCTACCAACACACCCCTGATGCAGGAACCGCTGCTGAACGCCAGGAAGGTGATCGAGGAGTGCCAATCGCTGCTGCTGGACGTGGATGACATCGACAGGTTGGTAGACAGCGATGGTGTGAGGGGGCAAGGGGAGGAATTGGCGCAGAGGAGGCAGGCCCTACTGGCTGCCCTGGTGGCCGCATTCCGGCTGCCACAGTCGTCTTCCGGGGCTGGCCAGCCAGGTGCGAAGGATGTTGGGGCTTACCATGCCTCTGATTATATGCCACACTGAGTTTTTCAATGTTGGAATCGTGTTGGAGCAATCAACATCTCGATGTGCTGTGGACGTCTAGCATGATAGGAACTTCCTTGGCCAGACTGGATCGAACGTTCTTCAAGGGGAGTGTGGCTCTTCCATAGAGATCTGAAAGAATTTGTGTTGCGCAATGGAATCCTGCTGTGTCTCTTGGTGTAGGATCTGCAGTTTTGAAACCGTATTGTAGAAGTTCCGAAACTGTTAAGCATCGCCAAAATTGTGCTGATGCACAACAGGCAAATAACATTCATGGCCTGCACATTTACAACAGCGGTACATGACCTGACCATACGCTTGCGGTAACCCTACATGCTTCATCTTATTCCGTACTGCCAAATGCGATGTGGTATTTTGGTCTAGTGAAAAAGAAATCATGGATATACAGAGTGCTGTTGCTGCAACGGTTTGGTTTTGCTTGGGAAGCAGAATTGTGGTGCTTGTTCCCAGCCAAAGTTCACAAGACTCTTTAGCATGCTGTGCAAGATGAACTGCTGACTTCTGCTGGAAAAGAGGGCTTATGGCAGTTGCAAAGGCAGATGCCACAGCAGCGCTGGAGACAGAGTTGTGCTGGCGCCTAGACCCAGGGTCCCTTCCTCTTAGCTCTCAGGCTCGCTGATGCATCAGCAGCGCAGCAGATCCAGTGTTTGCAGACATTGTAGTCAGCAAAATTGAACAATCGAGCTGTGTCTGGCAGGTGTCTCTGGTGACCGCAAGGGCTCCCATCCAGACGGGGTATTCCTTCGACTAAGCTCGCTGGTCAAGGGCCGGGGTCTTCTAGCAAGATCGTTTTCGACGTTTCTCCCGCCTGAGCCTCTATCACATCAAGAGGCGTCTAAGGGGAGCATAACGGGAGAAAGGCTGGGTGATGCAGGCCTCTGGATGTTGTATGGAGCTCTGAGAAACTGTCGAGCACTTTTTGGCCCCCTTGCCTGGATCACTGCACAGGTACAAAAGACACCAGTTTTCTCTTGCTGTACTTGTGACTCCTTTCATCCCCATCACTTTCTGTTGTGCTTGGCCTCTACTCAAGACCACCACAGGACGGGCAGCAAAGCAGACTGTGAGATTTCTGCATATGATGTGTGTGTGCACAATTGACATGCAGAGGGCGCTGGTGCTCTCTTGTTGGCGAGAGTTGCCAAGATGCAGGAGTTAGTTCAATTTGAAATATTGATAGTCAGAAAACAATTCAATGTTGAAATGGACAAGATACGCGATCAGTCCATCTACACACCCGCCCTGCTCGTCTTGCACTGTTCAGCTTGGCATGAACTCCGTCCTCGTTGCAAGCAAGGCCAAGGAGATGCCCTGCCCACATGAGGACTGAAAAACACATCAGCCGTATCATGTTGTTGGCCTCTGCTGGGGGCTCCAGCATCTCTCCCAGAATTCCAACCAGTTATCCCCTGCTCAACTCTTCCAGTCGCCACTTGTCGTGTGAACCCAGTCCCTGTTTGTCAAGGAGAATTAGGAGCTTTCCTGCGGTGGGCGTGGAAAAATGAAGCATTGGGATGCAGTTGCGCAGTGCTGCGATTGTTCACTGTTCTAAGGTGCAGAGCATAAAAGCGCATGCAGCAGCAAAGACTCCGCCTTGGGCTGGTTGGTGAGGAATAGGAACACCAGCTCCTGATTTCGTTCCATGCTTGGCAGGGCCAGTGGCTGTGTGGCTCTTCAATGCTGATGATCAGAGGACGTCCACTGTTGTTTTGTTTGCTGATGTTGCTGCCTCATGATCGGTCTATGCACCCCAAACTCAGTAACTAACACGGAACGACTACCATTGGAGCAGATAGATTGCAACGATAATTCAAGCCTGGTATTTGCCACACCACGCAAAGGCTCATTGTTACTGTGTCCAGGCCATTACCACAGACGTGGAGGCCCTGACAGTGGCCACCAGCAAGCTGGCCTCCAGCCTTGTGCAGGTGATCTCTTCCCTGGAGAAGGTGGAAGTCCTGTGCAGCTGCATGGATGCACTTGTGGAGGGCGACTTGCGGGGACCGGACACTGGCGTGCTCAACCACGAAGACATGCTCCTGCCACTGTTGCCGCCCAACCACTCTGTCGGAAGGGCGCCTGTGACCTGGGTTGAGGCTGTGCTCGTTGCCCTGCTGGAGAAGGCAGTGAGGCTGGGACTTGAGAACGGTGGGTGTGGGCCCTTGCGCACCTTGGGACATGGCATTCAGCCATCCACGTTGCATTTTGCTGACTTTTCAGAACGTTTGGCTCTGACAACAGGTGACTGGCTTCGCGCAGGTGCAGTGAGGCAGCACTCCTTGTTTGTGTTGTTCCCCGCAAACCTTTTGTTCCCAATTTGAAATGGCATGCATTGCTGTGCATGGGTGTATTTGGCACTGGTTTGTGGAGAAGCCTGCAGATTCCTCGTGTTGAGTGGCTTCGAGTCGTTCAAGTACTTGCCTTGTCCACTGGGCTTGTCATTTGAACTGGAGCCCAAGGTCGTGCTCTCACAGCACCCTTCACATGTACCCACATACTCAGTAGGTCGCAGTCCAGATTTTAAAGCCTGGAGCCCAGGGTCATGCTCACACAACACCCTTTGTGTACCCACATACTCAGCAGGCAACCAGATCTTCAAAAGATAGACTGTGCTAACCTCAAGTGTGCAGTCTCTGTCGGTGCTGTGCAGCTTGGTCATTGCTCACCTGCACATTATCGTCCAGGTCCAGCAGGTTGCTGTTGAGAGGGAGGAGGAGCAGGCATTGGAGTACACGCGTGGCTTGTTTCCTGGCCACCTGGTGCCGCTGCTCCTGAGGCTCTGCGCTTCAAAGCAAGGCGACCGGATCAAGCAGCTAGTGGGCAGCATGCAGAAGATGTGACCAGACTTGGCGTGGGTGCGATACGTGGCTGACAAATTTGAAGATCAACCTGTGTGACGATGGTTTGCCATCAAGGTTAAAGATAGGTCGCATAACAGCAGTTTTTAAAAACCAAGGCACAGGTCCTGTTGGCGGCAGTGGAGTTGCACTTTGGGACGATGGAAGTTGTGCACGCGGAATCAAAACAGACAAGCTTATTCAAAATCGGCAGAATCAAAACAGACAGGCTTATTCAAAATCGGCAGAAGGCTTCAATTGTGTTTGGTGTGACTGTGGAGTGGCTCAGGCGGGATAGAATATCCGCACGCTGTGCTTGCAAGTGAGCACGTAGGGCCTGAAGCCAGGTGTTCTGTGTGTCATAGTTGCCCTAGCGCACAAGTATGGGCCCGCGATACAGCTGATTAGTTGTGGCTAGGAGATTGAATGCAGGGGGGGATTGTTGCATGGCCAAACGGTTGCATGAGTCAGTGAGTGGGCTGTGAGAGCTTTGTAAAGTAGAAATGGTGCTCGCTCAGACTTCGGGCTGTGACGCCGGCACATCGCCTCGGGAATTCTCGAATGCATTGCCATGTATATTGGTTGCTCATCGGTGGCAAACGGGCCAGAGGCCGGCTTTCATGCAGGGGACGCCGGAGTTGTCCATCGGAGTGCGATTGCGCGCTGATTTTGTTTCAGTTGCGCATTGAGCGCGTCTCATAGCTGTGGTTTGTTGCGAATGACGCTCTCCGAATTCAGTTGTGCGTTAGGTGGTTGGTAGTTCTGTGGGTGGATGGCACGGCACGCCAACAACTATCAAGAAGCTGAACCCAGCCTTGCAAGCGAAATGGGCGCAGCGAACCCTTATTATTTCACAGATGGTGAGGTCTGTGGCTTCTCTTCCCGCCTGCTGCGGTGTGCCACTCAGATCATTTCGGACTGCTAGGCGGCAGCAAAGTTGCGGCCCTCTGCCGTGACGACTAGGGCACGGCAGGAGCGCATGGACTCAGTTCGTGGCGCCCATGGTTGTGCATTTTATTTGCACGCAAGAACATTCAAATAAGCTCAAATGCAGGAATGCAGTGGAGCAGCAGCGCCATGCGCCACTGCTGGCACGTTGAAATCGTGTGTTGGACGCATACATCTCTGGCCCTGGCTGCAATCTTTGAATTGGACACTGCATCCCTCTCGCAAGCGAGCGATGGCAGCCACCACGCGGAGCCACCTTTGCCCGAATGGTCTTCCCTGTTCCGAGGCCGTGCAGAGGCCAGGGGCGTCTCTGTATTCCGGCTGTGCGGCCCGGAAAGCGCACAGGCCGCCGATGATCTCCGCCATTAAGGTTGTACCCTTCCGGCAAGTGGGCATCCCAACCGCTTCCATGTGCACAGCCTTTGCCCGCGCTTTGTGATTGCCGCGACTTCTGCATCGCTTCCTGCGGCGCATGCCCTCGCGCCGTTGTCCCAGCCTCCCGCCGATCCCGTCATCTGACTTGTTTCACCAGCCACTCCATCCCCTCTGGCACCCCTGTGCCTTCCTTCGCGGAGCAGCCCTGGATCTGCCACGGCCGGTCTCTCACAAGGTGGAGGCTCAGCGCGTCCGCAACCTGTAGAGACACAGGCAAGCCTTCACAGCAGCAGGTGGGTCTCAGAAGGGAGCACAAATGTTCGACACCTTCCGCTTCCAGGCATGAAGATAGCGAAGGTCATTGTCGGGTTAGGTACCCGTAGTCTTGGGCTCCCCAAAAACTTCATGACCTTGATGACCCCGTCATTACCTTGGTATAAGGCAATGATAGGTATCGGACAAACCTCGACTGAAGGGAATGTCGGGAATGTGCAGAGCACTTGGGCGCAAAGACCTAGGCACGGGGTTCTCGAGGCGCGTCCTACTGACCAATTGATAATTTGGCGCTGCACAGGGCCTGTTCACGCGCCAAGAGCTTGGAATCCGTGCCTTGGGCTTGCTGTCAAACGTGTCACAACGAATCCATGCCAGCAAAGCACACCTGCTTAAAACATGTGCGTCTTTGCTTTTTCTGAAACGCCAAAAAAACACTTTCCTGCACAACCGGGGGCACGCCTCAAGCACCCAGGAGCACGTCAGCGACGCAAACAGGCGCCCTCTCACACCCCGTGTGCCGCAGGTCTGTTGTGTCCAGTAAATTGTGCACAAGCCATGCACTGCATGCCCAAAGTACTGCGCAGTATTGCCAGAACCCGCTTCGGCACAAAGAGCGCCTTCTGGACTTTTCCGGACGATCGCACCCGATACTTACATATTCTTATATTTCTTATCTTGTATATTTTATTATATTTTTTATGAGAAAGGGCTCTCGTTTTCCACGCTATGAGTGCGTTTCCCGGGGCCTACCAGCGCCTCGTCGATGCAACCTAAATGCAGCAAGTCCCGCAACGATGCAGCGGTCAAGTGAAATGAACTTCGCGGAACGTCGTGTTACGTGAGGTGGCCTCACTGAGGTGGGTGGGTGGGGTTGGAGGCGCTGCGCGCATTCGGCTCACCTCATCAGCCAGCAGGGAGTTGATAAGGTCCTGCTTGTTCGCCATGACCAACAGGGGAACGCCTTGCAGCTTGTCATCCTGGCTGCACCACATATTGTCATTTGGACGCAACCACTGCTGGCGAAAGCAAACGTTCAATTCACGCAGTTCCGCCAACGCTCGAAATGGCCAATTGGCGACAGTCGTGCATTGACAGATTGGCAGGCCACACGCCATGCTGAACAGGAACGAACTTTGCTGCGACGATTTATGCGAATCATGACTGAGTTGTGCAATGGCAAGTTCTGCGTTAAGGCGCCACGCAGCTGAAGTCATATTTCGCCAGTGTACGGAAAGGGCAACATGTGCAGTAACACCCGACAGCCGCACCGCGAATGGCCAGCCAGGTAATGCGATACGGAGGCTCGTTGTTTGGATAGGGCGCACTGCACTGCATTGCTGCGTTTCTCCAATCTCCCCGCCGGGCATCGAAGAGATGGCATTCTCTTTGATTGGGTGCGGTGGGTGATTGGGTGCAGAGCTTTGATAAAATGTGTTTTATGTGCGTTCACAAAAGTGTTATTTGGCCCAATTTTTGCTAGTGTGATGGCAAGGGGGCATGAGTGCTGGCATCCTGTCAGCCGCCATGGCTGGCCAGCTGCATCAAATTCGCGGCCATGTTGCTGGCAAAATGCTGGTGCACGGGCATTGCAGCTGCATTCACTAGGAGGGGAAGGTCGAAACAACGCGTGTTTAAACGCGTACAAAGTTCACCGATTGGGTTATTTTCTTGTTCTTAGCGCGCAGAACATTGATGAACGCATTTCATGCGTGTTCGCAAAATGTGTTACTTGGCCCATTTCTTGCCAGTGATTGATACGACACGCGTCAACAGACTCGCTGCATCAAGCCCCATCAATGTTGCACGCAAGCAACGCTCGTGGGCGTTGAATTTGAGTGGCAAAGCCATTGTTTTCAATATCAAATATATTAACAGGGAAGTGAGTGGAACACATGTGCGCAGATCACCTCCAGCAAGTTTGCCAGCTCCGTGCAGCATTCCCCTATCCTCTTCCTGTCCGAGCTGTCGATGACGTATATCATTGCATCCGTCGAGTCGAAGTAATTCCGCCTGTCCAAGAGCGACGAGCGCTGAAGGGTATCAGCGCCTGGTATTCGAATCATCGGTGGGCTGTCAATTTTCTAAAACCAGGGCAGCCTGCTGTTCTTTTAATGGCAATAATATGCTGCAATCCTTTTCAAACAGAGAGTAAACCTACAAAATTAGGAAAGGTCGACTGATATCAAGTTAGGTTTGTCGACAGACAAACAAAACAAACAAAAAGTCGAATGTCTACTTAACTTCCGTGTGTTCAGGCTCAAAGGGGGTGCTTTTGCATCTTGCCCAGTTGTATTGAATCAACACGCTTGATATTGACGCCGTAAACACAAATCGTACTTAAGTTTTGACGCGCAAATTAGCTTTTTTTTTCAAGTGGGAACGCGCAAAAATACGTAAATACAACGTAAATACAGTCCCGTGTACATAAGTACAGCACATACAGACTTGGGGATCCCATGGAGTGGCAGTCAGACGCGCTGGAATGGGTAGAAAACGAGCTTTTGTTCCATGCCATCGTTGCCCTTGCCGAGGGTGATCACACTCACCCACACCCACACAGTGTCCAATTCATGAGTTGGACACTGTGTTGCGAGTGCTGAAGATGGTGGAAGGCTGACCATTGTGCGCGACTTTCATGGTGTCATATGGGTGTCCCAACGAGCCGTGGAAACGTCTAAAAGCCGTGAAAATAGCCTCTTTCGCAAATTTACGGATTTGCGCCTAAAACCGTAAAAGCAAAACGTAAACGTAAAGAACAGGTTTGAGATTAAGTAATTCAAATATCAATTTAAGATAATAAAGATTTTCAAATAAGTAAATGAAGACGATGTAAAAGGCTACAATAATCCCTTACAGGTATATGTGATACAATCACAATGCCTGCCAAAACGCAGTACTGAATATGGGACCAAATATCGAACATGCGACTTCCCTAACGACCTGAGCGTTAGGGCAATTAAAAACTGGACAAAGTTGCCAAAAATGCCTTTTCCGAAGATTTTTTTATTGTTGGATCATGCGAATCACGAATTTCAACCAGCAATATTTTCCGGTTCTCACCAATACGGCCGAATTGTTTTCTGCCCTCCGATGTCCCACACATTGAACTTGAAGCCCTCATGCACAATGGACTTAATGTTAAATCCCTGAAACAGCGTGAGGCGAGTTGATTGCGGGCATCTCAAAAGCAGTATTGCTGCACATATTCCACGGCGCTCTTCGTATCCCCTGCCCTTGGAGAATTTACATCGCCTTTGACAGTATGGAGCAGTATAGGACCGTCTTTCTGGCAGGGGGGGAGCATCGTATGCATGGCGGACACCCACGTGAATTACTTCGATCATTGCCAGTTTTTCTCACTCAGCTCCGGCCACATTCAAGAATGGGTTTCGAGGTGCTGGAATATCTCAACAAATGCTTGTATAATAATTTCATGTGGATATACTGTCGTATACTTACTAAGTAACAAATTGTATTTCAATACAGAACTACGTAATCATTTTATGTTACTGCTATTTCGAGAACGTAGATTACTAAATGCTTGAACACACCATTCTCGAATGCTGACATCCATGCATTCCGATTAGCAACATCAGTACCAGCGAGCAAGAAATTCGCCAACATGCGTTTAAAACGTCGTTTACTTTCTTTTATGATTTTTCGGCGCATAAATTCGCACGTAAATTCGCTGTCGAACCTGCAAGACGTTAGCCTGCGTCA